CCAACGTGGGCGGAAGAGCAAGACCCTGTCTCAGAAACAAAGTTACTTTTCTTGTAAGGTGGGGATAGGGAGACAGAACAATAGAAAAATAACTGATTAGTTAATATCAGGATCCCTCAGGCTACCGTGTTTTGTGTAAAGATTAAAGCAGAGGGAACTTCATTATCATGCCCATTGAATATTGAAATTGACCTGTTTTAATTGGCTGTTATATCTCTCTCCTGATTTCTAGGAAGGTCAGATAACAACTTAGTTTAGATTTGGTGATGTGGAACTTTAGCATGGGGGATTCCATTTTGATTTTAGTCTGGTCTGTGGGGCCTAGAGCAGGAGCTTAGTCCAAAACCATGACCTTCTGTACTTTTTTATTTACCAACACTCACTCATTCCTTCTTGGAGTCACGAAGTGTTACTAAGTTCCTGCTCTGTGCACCATAGTGAAAGCCTGCAGACTAACTGGGAAGAACTCAACACTGCCCAGGGTGGGAACGTGGGCAAGGGAGAGACGGCACCCAGCCAAGCTGAGGGAGGCAAAGGCAGACGTCCTCCCAAAGCTCAATCAGCAAAGGCTTCTCTCATCAGCACAGCCTGAGCCAAGTCTATGGGGCGAGTCAGGATCCGAGGAGCTTGATGGGAGGGCCTGGGAGGTAAGGCTAGGTTCACTCAGCTAGACAGAGCCATCTGAGAAGAAGAGTTAGCTCTAGGAGGAAGAGTAGGAGGACCATTGGACTAGGACAGGGAAAAAGGAAGAAGTTGTTAAGGTATGTACAAGCACTTCCTGGTGTTTTGGGTTAACTGCCAGAGGAAGTTGATGGGATTAGCCCCAGTCCTTGCTTTGTGTCCCTGTCTTTATGGGCTGCCTTCCTGGCTGCGTGTCCAGAGCCAGCACTGCTAGCAGATGTAGGGCAAGGGCGGGGAAAAGGGGGTGGTGGAGGGGCAGTGGTGTTAAGACATCACCCTTCACCATCTGGAACACTGTGAGGACAAGGCAGGCAAGATGCCGCCACTCCCAGTCCTGGCCTGACGCCAACACTCCTGCTTTGTGACTGTCATTCTTCCAGACAGGCTGGAAGCTCGCCATTCAACAGGGACGCCGAGCTGGGAGGCCAGCCACTAAACAGCTGTGTGTCCTTGGGCAAGTCACCTTACCTGCTTAGCATTTTAAGAGAGAGAGCTGGACCTAATCGTAAACAGTTCCTCAATCTTCCAATTTTAGGTTGTCCCAAAAGGCAGAGGCCAGTCTTTTCCAAGCCTCACATCTGCCCTTTGGGCCCCCCTTCCCCAGCACACACACCGTTTCTTTCCCTGGACTGCCCCAGGCTCCTCCCTATTGCCCCATTTGAGCAAGTCCTGTCCCTCGTCCCTTCTCACTCCATGGAGGCACTTGTCCTTCAGGAGCACCCTCTCTTTCTGTGACACCTGCTGATCTTTTCAACCTGGTCAAATGGGCAAATGTGGGTCTCCTCCCGGGCAACAAACATTTACTTTTAACCTGGCCATTTCCCGTCTTAACCCTGTCAGTCACTTTAATGCTAGGAATTTCACATGCTCTGAGTTTAGGGAATTTGGGAACATTTTGAAAGTCACTGAAATCGTAGCTGCTTATGCATTCATTTATTAATGTGGTCACACAACAAATCTTTTTGTGACCATTCTGTCAAAGACTTTGCTATATGCTGTAGAAATAGTAAATTTTTTTCCTGATTTTTCTAAGTCAGCACAGACTTCAAATATTTTCTTCCATTGTCTTCATAAGGATATTCAGATGTGTCAACCTGCCTGTCCTTCTTTTTTTTTTTTTTTTTTTTTTTGAGACGGAGTCTAGCTTTATTGCCAGGTTGGAGTGCAGTGACGTGATCTTGGCTCACTGCAACCTCCGCCTCCCAGGTTCAAGAGATTCTTCTGCCTCAGCCTCCAGAGTAGCCAGGATTACAGGCACGTGCCGCCACGCCCAGCTAATTTTTTTTTTTTTTAAGTAGAGACGGGGTTTCACTATGTCAGCCAGGGTGGTCTTGATCTCCTGACCTCGTGATCCAAACGCCTCAGCCTCCCAAAGTGCTGGGATTACAAGTGCGAGCCACCACACCCGGCCCTGTCCTTCATTTTAATTCAGGAAATGTGATCACCATAGTTGAAGAGGTCCAAAAGATGTAACTGACTCTACCCTCAAAAAGCAAATAGTTTGCTAGGGGAACAAAACCAAGGATATGCATGGCACACATATGTGTGCGCATCCTGGCTCCACAGACCACCCATGCCATGCTGGAACCACTGCCTGTGGGCCTTCCTGCTGGGCTGTGATCCCTATTGACAAGGGCTAAAGCCAACACATCCCCAGACCCCGTGCAGTGCCTGGTACCTATGTGCTCAAAAATGTTCGTCAAACTGACGCACCACACCAGGCAGCAGGTAGTGAGTGTCAAGGAGACACAGATAAAACTGCAATGAGAGGTCAGAGGAAGAGAAGAAGGAGACTTCACATTTACTAAGACCAGTTGCATGACATACACTATGTTATTCACAGTTTAAATTAAACAACCCTATGAAGGAGGTATTACTACTGCCACTTTGCAAGGAAGATTAAGTAACTTGCCCAGAGTCATGGAGTTGGTTAGTGACAGAGGCCAGATTTGAGCCCAGTTCTCTCTTAACACTTCACAGCCATGCTCAGCTACCTTCCTACTGGGAAAGTCTTAATTCACCAAAAAAGTGGCACTGGAAGGAGGCCTGTTACAAGGTCACTAAGATAACAAACATGCATCATTTCAGTTCATCCAAACAGGTAGTAACTGCAGTGGCAAAAGAAAAATGATCCTGCTGACCCAGGAGAGCTTCTTTCCTCTCCTGAGCAAGCATCCCCCAGCCACTGACTGGCACTGCCCTCCCCACCTCCCCTTCCTGTCCAGAGCTCCCCCTACCCTACCCTGACATCCAGAGCCCTGCCTGCCCCAGCCAAACCCCTGTTACTGGGAAACACTGAGGTCAGCGTACCAGCAACGTCAGCACTAGCCGGGGAGGCCGGGGCAGAGATTTATCTCACCATGGCTAAAGCTGCTGACTTTCTCATTTCCTGCGGCTCTATTTACATACCTCCCACTTCCTCCTGCGCAGCTACTGATGCAGACTTCCCCCTCCCCATGGTGGCCAAATGAGGGCCAGGAAGGTTCTCCAAGTCACATAGCAACCCCTTCCCATCCCTTCAGCCAGAGATGAACCAGGCATCCTCCTTGGATGACCTTGGGCAGCTCAGCCTCTCAGCCTTGTTATCCTTGTTTATAAAGTAGGAATAAAAATACTGTCTGCCTTGCCTACCTTCCTGCATAACCCATAGGCAAAGAGCATGAAAAAGTGTATGTTTCAAGGATTGAAAAAGCATTAATTTATCAGAAAGCACAAGGCCTATTCATTATCATTATTTCAAAGTAGCAGAGGGGACAGAATTTCTCCTCATGGAGACAAGGCCCTGGACGCAGGACTTGCAGGCTGCTTATTCTCCCTAGAACTGCACTGCAAGACCCCATCCCAGCCAGGTCTCCTCTTCCTCCTTCCAGACCCCCCACAGGAGCTTGCTGAGAGCCAGAGCTGTGAGAGGCTGCCCTCTGCTGTCCACCTGAGTCCGGACCACATCAGCCCTCCAAGTCCGAAATATTGTGGCCAATATTGCCACCTGGTGGTCAACAGAAGCACTGCCACCAAACTGAGAGCTCAGCTTCGAAATGGAGAAATCTCCCTAATTCCTGACATCTGTCTCTGGGATGCACACAGATCTCCTCATACCAGGTCACTGTGCTTTCAGAGAAAGCATATCGGGCTGTGTCTCAAGTCATGCACAGACAGCATCTAGGGTAGGTGTTGGGGTAGGGAGGATGGAAGGAATATGCTAACCAGAATACACATTTTTAAAATTTTAATGTTCAATGCCACATATATCCTCTCTGCACTTGTCCCACTGGGGCCCACTCACAGTGACCCAGCCCTTGTTTGGCCCAACTTACAAAAACTTCTGGCCCCCCTGGGGCACCCAGAGTACTTTCTGGTCATAAAAGAGACAGTAACATTTCTATGTGCCCTTTCCTCCCCCCCACCCCCCACCCCCCGCTGGACCTTTTGGAGATGAAATTCAACAGGTAAAAGCAGGACCTGAGCAGGTGTCTCTGAAAGGAGGCAGTTGGGAGTTCCCAAAGGAAAGAGAAAAGGGAAGAGGAGAGCCAGCACGAACCAAGAATTGCAGAGAGAGAGCCATGGGCTTCTCCTGGAGACCCTAAAACAGAGCCCCAGGAAGAGGTGATGACATAAGAGGCTTCTCAAACCTCACAAGAGGAAGTAGACCCAAGAGACACGCATTGGAGATCAGAGAGCGGCCATGCAAAAGGAAAGACAGCAAACGAGCTGCAGCAAGCTCCTGAGCCCTGCAGCCCAGGGCACAGGAAACCAGAGGCAGAGCCTCAGGCCCAGGGTGAGGGGCAAAGCGCCAGCCTGAGCCTCTTGCAGCAGAGAACAGCTGGAAGAGAGAAGTGCTGGAGCCACCGGAGGTTTATGGCTGTCTATTCCAAGGGCAGCAGCCTGCCTGGGCCTGCAGTGCAAGGCCCAAGTCCTGACCAGGTGCTTCAACCAAGCCCAGGGAGTTAGGAACTGTGCCAGGCTGCTACAGGTAGCTGGGGCTGGAAACATACTCATATTTGGGCTATTGCACAGCCCCTGTGCAAAAACCTAGCAAATGAGCATACTCTCTCCAGCACCATGCAGGCTCCCATGTATAGCTTGTTCCTAGGACCTATCACTACTCCCCAGACCCCTCAAAAACAAACCAAAACAAAACAAAACCCTGGCCTACACTCAGAGAATGCTCTGGGAGGTGAGGCCACAAAAGAAACTGTCTCTTGGGAGTAGGTGGAGCCCAGCATCAGGGGAGAGCCAGAGGAAGGCATGTCAAGGGAGGAGCTGAGACCCAACTGAGGGTCCGCACTGGAAGAGGGCTTTCTTCACTCTAACTTGGAACCTCATTCTGCGTAGAACTTTTTCACAGTTGGAGGGAGGAGGACGCTCAAAGTAGGGTGTTGCCCTTGGTGAGGATTTGGAGTCCCCTGGGCTCAGGAGGGAGTGGACAGGCATTCCCAGAAGCATCAGCTTCTGGCATCTCCAGAACCCTAGCTTGGACCCTGACCAAGGAGTGTCCCCAACTGCTGAATAGGCCAGGAGTCCCCTTTCTCTAAGGCTTACATCTCTCCCTCTGGGGTGTGTCCTGCCCCTCCCTGAGTCACCCCAAGGGGAGAGAGGGGAAAAAAGGGAAGAGAAGAGAGGCATTGACTACAGAGGAAGGAAAAGGAAGCAGAGCAGAGGGGGGAGAGAGGCCACACAGGAGTGGGTGACAGAGGAGACTGCAGAGGGCAGGTCTAGGGCAGGAGATCGAGAGAGGGCAGGCCCAGGTCAGGAGGAGGTAGAGAGAGGGCAACCCGAGCACCCCAAGGGGTGCCTCAAGAGCAGGTGGGGGCGGGGAGCCGAGGGGGCGGGCCGGCCATGTCCCACGGGACCTACTACGAGTGTGAGCCCCGGGGCGGCCAGCAGCCACTTGAGTTCTCAGGGGGCCGAGCTGGGCCCGGGGATCTGGGGGACATGTGTGAGCATGAGGCCTCCATTGACCTTTCTGCCTACATCGAGTCTGGGGAAGAGCAGCTTCTCTCCGATCTCTTTGCGGTGAAGCCAGCGCCTGAGGCCAGAGGCCTCAAGGGCCCCGGAACCCCTGCCTTCCCCCACTACTTGCCGCCTGACCCTCGGCCCTTTGCCTACCCTCCACATACCTTCGGCCCAGACAGGAAGGCGCTGGGGCCTGGCATCTACAGCAACCCAGGGAGCTACGACCCCAGGGCTGTGGCGGTGAAGGAGGAGCCCCGGGGGCCAGAGGGCAGCCGAGCTGCCAGCCGAGGCGGCTACAATCCCCTGCAGTACCAAGTGGCACACTGTGGGCAGACAGCCATGCACCTGCCCCCAACCCTGGCAGCACCCGGCCAGCCTCTGCGCGTTCTCAAGGTAAGAGCAGGTCAGCCCTCCTCCCTCCTGCCCCGGGCTGGAGAGGCTGGTGTGGACAGGACCCTGTGCCCCTGCTCACGCTGCTGAGTCTGTGCTTGGTGTTGCTCTGTGAAATGGACCCAACCCACAGTCCTCTGTGCTCACACCGCACCATGACCTCCCTTTCCTTCTCTGTGAATTCATTCCCACCCTGAATCCCCACCATGTCCCAAAGACCCTGCGGCAAGCTGGCCTACCTTGATCTCAGGCCCCCCACCAGCCTCTCTGCTGCTCACCATGCCCCCTCCTCTTGTTTCTCTGCCGCCTGCTTCTGTAAGAAATGTCTGCTGGTCATAGAACAGGAGACTCAAGACAGATTGAGGGAAAGTGTACTCAGAAAGTGTGAGAACATTGGCTGGGTGCGGTGGCTCATGCCTGTAATCCCAGCGCTTTGCGAGGCCAAAGCAGGACGGTCGCTTAAGGCCAGGAGTTGGAGACCCGCCTGGGCAACATAGCAAGGCTCCATCTTTACAAAAAAGAAGAAAGAAAGTGTGAGGACATGAAAGGGAGTTTTGGTCTCAAGCAGAGGACCCTGTGCATCTGGGTCACCATCTCCCAGAAGCAGGGCGATGATAGTTTTGACCTGAGAGACAGGAGCTGGCTCTGAGTCCTGTATTCCTTCGATGCAGCAAGTGTGCCCTGGCTGCAGAGATTCCCGTCCCGCCTTCGCTCTGCCTCCTCGCCAGCCCTCACCTCTCCGTCTCTCCGTGCCTTCCCCTCCAGGCCCCTTTGGCCACTGCCGCACCGCCCTGCAGTCCCCTCCTGAAGGCGCCCTCCCCCGCTGGCCCCTTACACAAGGGCAAGAAGGCAGTGAACAAAGATAGCCTTGAGTACCGGCTGAGGCGGGAGCGCAACAACATCGCCGTGCGCAAGAGCCGGGACAAGGCCAAGAGGCGCATTTTGGAGACGCAGCAGAAGGTGCTGGAGTACATGGCAGAGAACGAGCGCCTCCGCAGCCGCGTGGAGCAGCTCACCCAGGAGCTAGACACCCTCCGCAACCTCTTCCGCCAGATCCCTGAGGCGGCCAACCTCATCAAGGGCGTGGGGGGATGCAGCTGAGTCTGGCTGGTGGACTTTGGGCACCAGGCTCCGTGGCACGGCCTGACTCTGCGAACCCCCATCCTGCTGGGGGTCTAGAACCCTGAGACATAGACCATGGATAAATGGCAACCGGGGTGGCAAGGAAGGGCAGGACCCAGCATAATGATTATGTGGCTGAATAAAGTTGCACTGTGACTGGGTGTTGGGACTGTTGGCTGTGTGTGTGTGTGTGTGTGTGTGTGTGTGTGTGTGTCATGGAGGACCCTGGGGACAGAGGATGCATGTGGCTAGGTCTGCACCTCTTGTTTCCATGCCCAAATGGACATGTGGAAACACAGACATGCTGTCCACAGCCCGCCCCCTACATGCCACACAACCAGGCCATGTATCTGCCACTCTGCTTGTCTCTCCCTGACATCCCTATCATCCCCTTCTGTGATCTGAAGGCACATCTCCGCCCCCCGCAGGACCTGGAGCAACCTTTGTATGCTCTGCTAACAAAGATCTGTAGCTTGTAGGGAGATCCTGGCACCACACAGTCCTTCATGCCCAGGCCTGCGGCTCCCAGGCCCACCCTCTCTCACCTCGAAGTATAGGTCTGGGAGCTCCTGCCCCAGGTGACCACGGGAAAATTCCTGATGGCTCTGCCATATTTATGGTCCCTTGATCCAGCCTGCCATCTCTTCTCTCCATTTCCGATGCCTCAGTCTACCAGATGGACACCCTCCCAATGCTGCTCCCACCTACCCATTTCCATCCTTTGTCCCTCATCCCTGGGGCTCCAGTTCCATAAAGCTTGAGAATTGAGTGCATGGGACAGGAATCAGTTGGGAGAGACCTGGAAAGCGGATTTGTGTATGAGAACACTGGTAATGAGAAGGAGGATGACAATCTGCCTGTGCCAGGGACACCCCTCACTCAAAGCAGCATTTTCTTTGGCATTGGACTCCAGCCTAAGAGACAGATGGTACAGTAATTAAGAGCCCCAGTTTGAATCATACTCTGCTACTTACTAGCTGTGAGCCTTCAGCCATTACTTCTCTCTGTGCCTCGGTTTCCTCATCTGCAAAATGGTAGCAATATTCGTACCCACTCTGTAGTGTTATATTCATAGAAAAAGAAAACTTTGCATGTAATAAGCATATTTATGATGATTCCTCCATTTTGCTGGAACTGAAAGGACCTCGGAGATCTCATCTAAACTCATTTTGTAGGTAAGAAAACAGGCCGCAAAGAGGGGAAGGGACTTACCTGGAGTCACACAATTGTTTAGAGGCAGAACCAAAATTAGCTCCATAAAATCACAGATCTCAAGATGTGCTGGAAGAGACCTCAAGAGATCATCTGGTGGGCTCTGCCCTCAGACCAGCAAGATAGGGTGAGCCACATTTTATAGATAAAGCAGTTGAGGGCCAGAGAGGGTAAGAGGCTTCTCCTGACACTCACTGAGTCCCTTTGCTGCCTCGGTACATGGTACCTCTCTCTCTACTCCGTGCGACACTCTCCTCACAGATACTCAGTTTGAGTGTCACATGAATCACATTCAGTAAAGAACAGTGCTCAACAGTATCAGGGAGCCAGGGACAGATTAAGGACTTGTTAAAGTCTCTCCTAGGCCAGTGCTGGGAAAGCCTGAGTCAGACATCAAGGAATAATTTTCTGAGAGGGCAAGAGACTGGTGTCTGGATCATCCCAGATCTCTCTCCCTTCTTCAAATCTCCAGCAGTAGAGCCCTCCCACACCTCAGGCATCTGTGTGTGACATGTCTATCTTGCCCAGGACTCAGTCCTTTTCCTGCCTTTGCCCCTGTGTCTCTCGGGCACCATCTCTCCTACCTCTGTGTCCTGGAGGCCCGTGCCCCAGGTCTGGTTTGGAGGGACAGAGCTGAACCTTCAGTGTAGGGACTGATGGGAGCTTCCTGAGTTTGGAAGGAGGGGAGGTACCAGTCTCTGTGGGCACCTGGGAGAATCCTCACACCTTCCTTTCAGCCCAGGGGGATAGGTTGCATAAGGCAGGTTTGTACAGAACATGGTAAATGACTCAACCTCCGGATTTCCTCCTCTCAGCTCAAGACCACTGTCCCTTGACGTACTTTCAAGGTTCTGGGTGATGGGACCTGGCTTGCTTCAGCATCAAGCCCAGGCTTCGTTCCCACAGCCCTGAATTGTATCTCCTCTCAGGCCCCCACTCATCCCGTCAGGTCCTCAGGGCCGGTGCCTAGTGGAGCCTTCCTGACTGGTACCCAGTCTGGAGGAGTCACATCCCCATCTCCCCACTGCGATCCCAGCGTGACGTGCAGCAGCTGAACACATCCCAATCCTTTGCGTCAGATCATATTCCAGGGGGATGAGTCAGAGCCAGAGGGCACACTTCCTGGAGGAGGCTTTCCATCTGACCTCAATTGGTTTTGGCCAACATAACTTACTCAACAAGTATTTGTTGAGTATCTTTTCTGGAAATGAGACAAGTTCTCAGCAGGAGTAGGAAGAAAAAGTCAATAAACAAGTGTGTTGAATGTCTTCCTTTGTCCCTCCAGAACCCTCTCCACCCTTCATCACCCTACACAGTCACCAGGTGGATGCCTCCCTACATCAACCAGCTTCTCAGGGGGTGCGGGTGAGACTGGCAGGAGGAGAGTGATGGGAGCCCCCTGCTGACCGGCGCTCTCCACAGTCCCTCCCAGAGGATTCCAGGCCCTCAGGCCCCCATACTGGGCTAGCCCAGGGGACTTCACCACTCCAGGAACTTTCCCCGGATACTGTTGGTTCACATCTTCATAAAGCACCTTAATTAACTTCTCCTGCTTACTCCATTCGAATAGCCCATTGGGGAAACCAAATAAACCAACAGATAGGGAGGCTATTTTAGCTGGGGTGGCCAGGAAAGGTCTCTCTGAGGAAATGACATTTCAACTGAAACTTGAAAAAATTTGAGAAGGAGGCAGGTATGTCTTGAGTGTAAGGGTGAACAGAGGGAAGGGTAAATGCAAAAGCCCTAAGGTGACCAAGAAAAAGGAAGCCAGGAGTGGATGCTGAATGAAAGAAGGAAGGAGAGGATAAGTAAGAAAAAGATGCACCTTCCCTCCAGAATGGGGCTCCAGGGGTTGCAAATGACTATTTTCATTCCCTCTGTCAAGAAAGATGGTACGTAAGAAGCTGGGGGAGGTGGAGAGCAGGGTTCTCTCTGCCCCTGGATTCAGCTTCCCTGCCCCTTGGTCCTCCTGTCACCTTCACCACAGTAAGGCTGTCACCACTGGGGAAGGAGATGACAGAAAGGAGCCCGGGGAAGGGCAGTTAGCCAAACCCTGCCTGGGGAAATGCACCAGGACCGGTGAAAACCAGCAAATCAAGGTCCAAACAGCACACACAAGCAGTCCTATTGCTTCAGCACCCACAGCTCAGGCCCACTTTTCTTTCTGGAGCAGAACTGGGGAGCAGAATGAGAATCCTGAGCTGAGAGACAGGATCTTAGGCCACAGGGAAGCTGCAGAGGAGAAGGCAGACAGTGGGGAGACACTGCAGAGGGAGGAAGCTGCCCAAGGTGAGTCTGCCAAGGTCAGTCAGCAGCGGTGGTGGCTTGTGAAAGCTGCCCCCACCCCCCTGCTCGGTGCACACCTCCCCACCCCTCTACACAGATTGCCACATGTCTGGGCCCCCAGGGCCCCCATCCCAGTGTTGCAAGATCCCGGTTGGGGTTGTGGGTGGAAAGGGGCCTCTTCACCTCCACCCCCTACCCTGCTCCAAGCCAGTGAGGGGACTATGGGATGAAGGGGGCTGTTCAGGAGACACTGAGGCAACAACAGGCAGGGCTGGCTGAGGGCCTGTGCGTCTCCTCTCGGACAGGCCAGTCACTTCCCGTCACCCTCACCAGCCCCCCGCAGGCAGATCCCTCCTCCCAAGACTCAGCATGGGTTGCTCCAAAATGGGAGTAGTCCAAGCTCGACAGAACCCCTGGTTGGCCTCTGTCAGCTGCTTCCATAACCAGGCCTGGCCTAGCCTCAGAAAACCTCAGTGGCACATGAGAAATTCTCCCCAAGGGGAGAGGGTGGGGGTTTTCAGAGGAAAATGGCTGCAACTTAACTTTACCAAAATGGCCATCAGTTCTGACTTCAGAAAGCAGTGGAAAGGTCCCAGGGCCTGGGAAGGGGCAGGCTTCCTGATAGGGAGAGACCCGCCACAGAGCTGCAGCCTCTTGCTTCTCTTTTATTATTTATTTATTTATTTATTTATTTATTTATTTATTTATTTTAGGTCCAGGGACAGACTAGATTTTTCCCTTAGATTTGCTTCCCTTTTAGAAGAAACAGGGCTCTGGGGGTAGGTAGAGGCAAGCCACACGTCGAATGGATCCAGCCCCTACACCCCATGAGCTAAGCTTCACCCTGGAGTCCTAAACTGTCCAAGCCCCTATTGCCCCGCTCCCACACCTAGCACTGTCACCCCTGGCCAGGCTATCCAACCTTGCTGCAATCGGGACGGTTTGCAAAACGCCTTCTAGCTCCCGCTTTGTCACCATCTGAGGTTAGGACTGTACTCAGGAGATAAGCTCAGGCCCCACCCGCTCGTCCCCAGCGAGACTGCTGGCCTGCTGCAATCGGGACGGTTTGCAAAACCCCTGCTGGCTGCAGCTCTGTCACCATCTGAGGTTAGGGCTGCACCCTAAGATAAAGCCTAGCTCCTCCCTTCAGCCCTGCCTTCAAACCTCACAGGCAGCATGGTCCCAAGAAACAGAGCTCCTGGGAGCCTCCTCAGGGTCTGGAAGCATTACACAGGTCCAGTGCAAAGACCCCTTCTCCTTGGTCCTCCCCTCACCCCTTCTCCTCTCCATCCCCAGCCTCACTTTTGCATACTTTCCTCATTATCATCCTCTCCTCACTCTCCATTTACTCACCTTCTATCTTCTATCCTCACCCTTCCATCCCTCACCTCCCTCCTGCTTTCTCACCACATTCATTTGCTCAAAAAATACATACTAAACACCTACTTGAAGCCAAGCATTTTGTTATAGAAGCTACAGGACACATAAGGAAAACAGTCCCTGCCCTTTGGCGGTTTATAGATTAGTGAGAGTGACAAACATAAGACCACAAACAAATTGGGGGCAGTGTCATCTAGCAAAAGTAAACGGGTGACTGATGGCCAATATTAACATAGGTACCTGATTTAAATGTGAGGGTTGGGAAAGGCTTCTTTGAAGGGGT